CGAGGAGGTCCTTGGTGGTTTGTGGGCCCTTGCGTCCTAGCTTGTGAATCAGAGACTCGCAGGTGGTCCCAGATAGGAAGGCTCCTATAACGTCAGCGTCGGCGATGTCGGGCAGCTCGTTGCACTACCGGAAGAAGCGCCGGATGTACTCATGAAGAGTTTCCCGGACTTCTATCGGTAGTTTTTGAGATCCCATGGGTTACCAGGATGCGCTTAGGTGTCCTAGAAGTTTCCCACGAAAATCTCCTTTAGGTCCGCCCAACTTTGAATCCGGTTGGGTGGAACGTGCTTCAACCATGTTCAAGTCGAATTGGCTAGGAGCAATGGAAGGTTGCAGATAATGAAACTATCACTATCCGCTCCAATCGGCTTGGCAAGCTAGCTGGTAATCCTCGAGCCACAGTCCGAGGTTCGTTTCCTTGGAGTATTTTGGGATGTTGGTCAGCGGTCGGTACTACGGTGGGAAGGCGGCGTTGAGGATGTGTCGACCGAAGGCCTGAGGCCCGGTAGGATGGGGCTCGAGCTTTGGTCCTCGCCGCTGTCGTAGCGTCCGCCGCGACGTGGGTGGTAGCCGCGGCCGGCTTCCTCTCTCTCGTTGCTTTGTCCATGCCTACGGGCATCCAAGGTGTTATGTGCATCATGGTGGAGGCCGAGACGCTCATGCACTAGAGCCATGGCACGCCCCCCGACGCCGCACGGTGCCTGGTGGACAGACACATCCCTGACATGTCATCCCGAGGGCGCATGCCGACTAGCGTCGAGCTCGTGTCGCCGAGACAATGAGCTCTCCGCCTACTACACCGCCATGCGCTAGAGCAGCGTGCAGATCTCGTGATGGGCCCGATGATCCTTAGGTGTCGTGGCTCTAGGAGCCCTCGGAGCAAGGCCGTCGTGGCAGCGATGTTCTGGCTTGCCCGGGCGAAGTGTGGTAGGACTCCATTGTCTTCAATGATCCTCCGATTCACGTCGTGGGGCATGGCACGCACACGCCCACCATCTCCGCGATGCTCAATCTCTTGCTTGAGCTCCGCACACTCCTACTCTAGCTAGAGTCTCGCATCCTCGAGTTCCCTATGCCGCGCCCTCAGCTGCTCCACCCGCAGGTGAGGCAGGGTCCCTGTGTCTCCCTTGACCTCGTCGTTGAGGTCATTTGGTGGGGTAGCCCCTCCCTCATGGATGCTTTCGACGTGTCCCTCAAGGGTACCTGTCTACCTGTCATAAAATATTCTCGTGAGGGGTGATGGCTCCCCTGCTGGAGTCAGAGTCGAAGGGTGACTCTGAATCTCTCGCGAGAAGGTCATGGAAAGATTCCACGACGTATTCGGTCATCCCTATGAACTCGTCGTTCGTAGGGAATGAGTGCATGTGCTATGCCACGAGGTGGCCAACGGTCCCCGTAGCATTGCACGCAGACCGAACAGGAATGTTGCCGGAGTGCTCCGGATGAGGTATTCCAGGGAGAGCGGATCCCCTTAGACAAGCTACGTCATGATGTTGGCGAACGAGAAGGTGAAGCAGCGTAGGTCCTCCCGGGACGGTCGGGGTCCCAGGAAGGCATTGAGCTGGCGCTCTAGCCTCCCGTAATCGAAACCGAGGAGTTGATCGCTCCCGGGGCGCGAGCCTCCGACGCATGCAGCTGCAGCTCCTCAAGCGCCTCGACGATCGCATCGAGACCAGCGGAGTGGAGAGGATGGATGGTGGCGGAGGCCTGCGCCAGCTCTCCCTCCGTCATGATGATGAAATCTAGGTTCCTAAAGCGCACGTGCGCGCCCGGGATCCAGTTGACGCCGTGATTAGCCATCCAAGGCCTGATGTGGACGTCGAGACGCACAAAAAGCCCATAATTGGCGCGCCAACTGTCGATGTTTTGGATCACCGGCTAGTAAATTTATATCTGCGCGTCTGACCCGGATGGTGTGCTCGAAGGACACAAGGATTTATACTGGTTCGGGTGGAATGTCCCTACGTCTAGTTTGCTGCTGCTCGTGTTACCGATACTGGTTTGTAGTAGGGGTTACAAACGAGCGAGAGAGGGAGAAGTTCCCAAGTCTCTGGTGAAAAGATCGAATGGAGTTGAGTCTTGCTGAACTTGTTCAGCCGTGTGCTCGTTAGTTGTCCCCCTTTTGGGGCATTCTGCTTCCCCTTTTATAGGTGAAGGGGAAGGCACAGATTACAGAGAGAAAGGAGAAAAGCGAGGGAGAAGAAAGCCTCCAGGGCCGTTGGGTCCTTCTCCTTCATGCGGGTCCCACCGACGCTGTAGATGGTGACGGGGCGGCTCCACGTCGGGCTCCTGTTCACCATTGGTGCCATGCCCTGGCGTCATCAGCTGGTCGTGGCGTCCGATCCCGTCCCGGTGGACGGCGTGGTGAACCGACGTGCCTATCGTACGGGGAGTAGGCAGCACAGCGACCACGCACCCGCCACTGTTGGCGATGTGAACCCCCTGACGTGGCCATGGATCACGTCGAGACGTGCCCGCTTCCCTCCTGGAGTCAGAAGTTTGATCCCGGGGTCGTACCCTCAAACCCGTAGTGGTTAGAGGCGGCATGGGTCCCCGTCGGGCGAGACAGAGCCCGCGCCCCAGGGGTCGGGCGGGACAGAGCTCGTGCCCTCAGGGTCGAGCGAGACGGCTCCGTATCCTTAGGGGTCGGACGACACGGGTCCCGTGCCCGAGGGGTCAGGCGAGACGGAGCCCGTGCCCTCAGGGTCGGGCGAGATGGCTCCCGTACCCTCGGGGTCGAGCGACATGGGGCCCGTGCCCTCAGGGTCGGGCGAGATGGAAGTACGTCCTTGATTATCTAGACGAAGTCGTCATCCGCGATCCTCAGATCCATTCTTTGAATATCCCTAGTACCGATACACGACACCAGTTAACCAAAGCTAAAGCAAGAAAACAGAACAAACAGCATCCGTGCCGAACTACACAAAGCTTCAGACAAAGTAACAATTCTTATTACAGAACAGCAATATCAGAATTGAAGTCTTCACGACGATCTCTCTTGCTGATCCAGTCCTCTAGGCGCTCCACCATCTTAGACAGATGTACTTTGTCTGCCTCCTTCATAAGATCTCTCCACATCTGTAAAGAGTTAATTGTATTGTAAAGAACCACATCAGGATTAGAAGGGAATTTTTCTCTATGGCCATTTTATTTCAATTTTTTCATGTTTCCCAAGTAAAACCCGGTTTGACACGCAACGATTCACCATGAAATCGTTTCTCCATCTGTACATGCATCTGCAAAAAGCTGAGAGGTGGTTTCGCCTAATTCCGTTTCTTCCACACTTCTATGCTAGCAATTAATGTTTAGGGAAATAAATTAAAATTGATTATATTTAAGTTGTTCAGTGCACACAAAATTCAGATTTTTAAGCATATTTTTATTTATATAATTTTTAAGAAAAGATAGACTTTCTAATCTATTAGCCAAATGATCGTATAAAGTGATTTTGACCCATCATCCAAAATATTCTCATTTTTATAAGAATCAGATCGCTACCAAACGATTGAACAGAAGAGAAGTTAGAAAAGTAGCCTTAGTTCACCGAGACCTTGTTTCCATTTTATAGTGACACTTATACATTCACTGTAGGTGTCTTACACGTCGCCAAAGAATAACTGTATGTTTGAACCCGAACCCTCCTCTTTAAATTTTAGAGCTCTAAAACTTTAGAGCATTTTACCTCAGTTTTGAGATCTAAAGCTCTAATATAAAATAGACTAAAGTTTAAAACTAATTTTAAAATATCTATTTAAAGACTTTAGCTTTAAAGTTTAGAACTCTACAATTCTACAATTCAGAGTATGGGATCCAAACAGATCAAACGACGGGTTCAAAGGTAATGCTCGAGGAAACTAATCAAGCTCACTTCATCGGTGCATCTGTATGGAACTTACGCATAGCCTGTCTGCCTGTGTGATACAAACTCCAATGTGGATAAGTAGCACGTACACCAACCACTACCAGTCGCTCTCTTACTTTTGACCTGATTGCATATTGTAAATCATTAAGAACACTTTTGACCCCTTAACTATTGTGTCGATCTAATTTTAACCCTTAACTACAAAACCGTCTAGTATCGGTATCTCAACTGTCAAAACCGTTCACTTTTAGCACCTAGGCGGGGGCAGGGCTGTTTTGACCAACGTTGAGCGGTTTTGACACGCAACCTCCATCTCAGCGACATGTGGGGCCCACGTGTCATCGACTCAATCCCTCCCTCTCCGTCCTCACGGCCATGGCCTCGCGCTCCTGGACGCCGAGCGAGGAAAGGCGGCATGGCGCCGCCGCTGGCAAAGACGTACGCGCGTCCGGCGAGCGAAGCCGTGCCACCCGCGCTTCGGCGCCTCCATGGCACCGTCCGAAAGCGCTCGAGGCGTGGTGCGGCGCGGCCGTGAGCCTCCTCCTCCTCCAGCCATGGCCTCGCGCGCCTAGGGCGTCGTCTCGGCGCGCTCGGCGACCATCAGCCACGCGTCGCGGGCGCGGCGGCAGCCTCCACGACGCCGACGCCGACGGCGACCAGGTTCGAGACAACCTCCTCGTGCTTTCGCCGGCGTATGCGGCGGCGCGTTCGAAGTCGGCGGCGCCGCCGGCGCGGCGAAACGTGGCGGACGCGCAAGCCAGCGCCCGACGCAGGGACGACACGGTGGTCCCACATGTGGTCGGTAAGCGCTGGTCAGCAAGAGCGGCGGCAGCGCTTACTACGCCGACGACGACGCTGGTCCGGCGGTGGACAAGCACTCGACGGCGATGGGCGGGATGCCCGTGAACTCGTCACCGGATGGTGTTGCGGAGCCGGTGGAGGGGCGGTGGCGCGCCGCGCCGCCGCCGTGGGCTAAGCGAGAGCCTCCACCTCTTCGCGGTGGCGCGCCGTGGACGGGCGCGCGTGGAGGGAGAAGCGGTTGGTGGTGGCTCGGCGGGCGGCACCGGAGACGTGGGCGTCGGCGGACGTGGTGTTCATCTCGACTTCCGACAGCGCGCGTGGCGGCGCGGAGCGCCCATGCCGGGCCTGCGCCGGTCCTTCTTCGCCTACGCGGTCATCGGCGGCCACGACGACGAGAAGAACGTCGTGCGATCGACGCTCACCTACGACCCGGACGCCGACACGTGGGCGCAGCTCCCGGACATGGCGGAGGAGCACGATGAGCCGCGCGGGCTCTGCGTCGCCGCCAGGGGAGGCAGCAGGTTCCTCGTCGTTGGCGGGTACCCGACGCAGGCTCGGGTCGGTTCGTTGACTCTGCGGAGTGCTTCGACCCGGCGACGTCCACCTAGGCGCCCGTCGACCTGGTGATCGAGGACGGCGTGTGCCCGAGGACCTGCTGCGCTGCGCTAGGGCCAGGGGCGTCTGAGCGCATGTACATGCTGAGTCGCGATGGGCACCTCGTGGCGCGCGACGGCGTCGCGGGAGCGGCATCGGCGTAGCGACCGGTGGCGCAGGTGCCCGAGGACGCGCGCACCGCGGCAACTATCTCCGCCATCCCGGACGGCCGCGTCGTGGTCATCGGCGAGGGAGGGATTGAGTCGATGACGCGTGGGCCCCACATATCACTGAGATGGAGGTTGGGTGTCAAAACCGCTCAACGTCGGTCAAAACAGCCTTGCCCCCGTCCAGGTGTTAAAAGTGAACGGTTTTGACAGTTGGAGCACCGGTACTCGACGGTTTTGTAGGTGAGGATTAAAATTAGACCGACACAATAATCGAGGGACCAAAGTGAACTTAATCCTATTGAAAAAGATCTTCCACGTTACAATTTGCATATAACTAGATGCTATTAGTAATAAATTAAAGTGCGAGCTGATTCCGCTGGCTACAGATTACATCTACTATCATTTGCAAGACGAAAAACGACAACCACCATTCTTCGTCTTCCGTGGAACGTCTGCGAGGAGGGACAAAGAATCTAGGAAGCTTTCAACGAGTACAAACGTGACCCTGCGATAAAATACACGGGCACCGTTTCTGTTGACCTCAAACACAAGTACTCCTACTAGCTAGTTCTTGCAAGTTGCAAAGTGCACCAAATCTCCAAGTTAGAGAGCAAGCTATGGACACCAGCCGAGACAGGGGCCTCACCACCGGCGACGAGCTCATGCAGGCGCAGGCCGAGCTCTGGAACCACGTCTTCGCGTACACCAGATCCATGTCCCTCCGATGCGCCGTCGAGCTGGGCATCCCCGACGCCGTCAACCGCCTCGGTGGCGCCGCATCGGTCCCGGAGCTTGTCGCGGCTCTCTCCCTGCCGCTGCCCAGGGCGCCGTATCTGCGCCGCCTCATGCGGCTGCTTGCGCACGCCGGGTTCTTCGTCTTTGACGCCGCCGCCGCCAGCTATGGGCTGACCCCGCTCTCGCGCCTCCTCGTCTCCACGGCCACGCGCGGCGCCGGTGGGCAGGGCGGCCTCTCGCCGTTCGCGCTGGCCATGCTGCACCCTGTCATCGTGTCGCCGTCCATGTCCCTGGCGTCCTGGTTCCGCGCCGCGGACGCCGTCAACGCCGCGGCGCGCGTCCCGTTCGAGTCCGCGCACGGGCGCGACCTCTGGGCGGTGGCGAAGGACGACCGGGAGTTCGGGGCGGCGTTCAACGACGCCATGGCGTGCGACGGCCGGTTCGTGATGGACGTGCTCGTGCGCGACCACAGCAACGTGTTCCGGGGCCTCGCTTCGCTGGTCGACGTAGGCGGCGGGTCAGGCGGCGCCGCCAGGGCCATCGCCACCGCGTTCCCGCACATCAGGTGCAGCGTCCTGGAGCTGCCGCACGTGGTTGCCGCCGTCCCAACAGGCGAACTCGGCGGCGTGGAGTTCGTCGCCGGGGACATGTTCGAGCATGTCCCCAAGGCCGACGCCGTCCTCCTCAAGGTCTGGCGCAGTGGCGCGCACATCGCGCGCTCTCCTTTGCCTTGTGAAACTGAAGAATGACGTTGCACGCGGTTGCTGTGTACTTGTGCAGTGGATCCTCCATGGTTGGGACGACGAGAACTGCGTGCGTTTACTGCGGCGGTGCAGGGAGGCGATCCCTTCGAAGGAGGACGGCGGCAGGGTGATCGTGATGGACCTGGTTGTGGGATCCAGCCCGGCAGACGAGAAGGCCACCGAGACGCAGCTGCTGTGGGACGTGATGATGATGGGGGTGGTGGGGAGCCCCGGGCGGGACGAACGTGAGTGGCGCAAGATCTTCCAAGACGCAGGCTTCAGCGGCCACAAAATCGTTGCCGTCCTCGGGATCCGGTCTGTGATCGAGGTCTACCCTTGATTTTCTTATCTTAGGCCTGGATTATATCGTAAGTTTTTTTCACTCTCTCTCCATCACATCAAATCTTTGGACATATACATAGAGTATTAAAGGTAGATAAAAAAATAACTAATTACATAGTTTGATTGTAGATTATGAGACAAATCTTTTAAGCCTAGTTAAATCATGATTAGACAATAATTATCAAATACAAACGAAATTGCTACCGTACCAAATACTGATTTCTAACCGGTATCTAAACAAGGCCTTAGGACTAAAAACGGACTATTCAGAATCCACACTGTTCTTCAGTGTAATCTAAACGCAATGGTAATAGAATTTCGTCTGTGTTATATTCTACCTTTATATTTTCTTAAGTTTTCAGGTTCGTTTCGTTATTTTTCCCCAATGATTCCTAACTAAGATTTAGGACTGCCATTAAATTGCTGCCACACTTTTCCCCCAATGCCTTTTCTTTCGCAAGCTCGTATTGTTGGTTCCATTTCGTGTTAAGGAGTACTATAAAAGCACGCCCAATGCAAGCATACATCCGTGGTGGTCTTAGGGCGCGTCTAGGTTGCGTTTAGTTCGTGAAATGAAAATTTTTAGATGACACATCAGATGTTTTGGGAGATATCGAAAGAGGATTTTGGATACTAACAAAAAAAACTAATTACATAGTTCGCCTGGAAACTGCGAGTCGAACTTATTAAGCCTAATTAATTCATCATTAGCGCATATTGGTACTGTAGCACTTATGGCTAATCATGGCCTAATTAGGCTTAAAACATTCGTCTCGCGATTTCCAACTAAATTGTGCAATTAGTTTTTTCGTCTATATTTAATACTCCATGCATATGCCGCAAGATTCGATGTGACACTTTGGGGTGAAAATTTTTGGGAACTAAACAAGGCCTTAGTTGGCGAAATTTTTTGGTTTTGGCTATTGTAGCACTTTCGTTTGTATTTGGCAATTAGTGTCTAATTATAGACTAATTAGGTTCGAAAGTTTTGTCTCGCGATTTCTCACCTAACTGTGTAATTAGTTTTTTTTCGTCTACATTTAGTACTCCATGCATATGCCGTAAGATTCGATACGACACTTTAGAGTGAAAATTTTTGAAACTAAACAAGGCCTTAGATAAAAAGTTTAGTTTCATGTAGGGCCGCGTTTAGTTCGCCCGACTCTGCGCCGCCTGAAACACTGTAGCGACACTGCTGCTACAGTGTCGTTTTGTTTTTATTTGTTAATAATTGTCCAATCGTTGACTAATTAGGCTCAAAACATTTATCTCGCAAAGTACAACCAAACTGTGTAATTAGTTTTTGATTTCATCAACATTTAGTACTCTATATATGTACCGCAAATTTGATGTGACGGAGAATCTTCTTTTTGCATAGTATTAAATTTTGGATTTTTGTGTAACTAAACATGGCCTAGATTAAAGGCTCCATGGCTACTAGACTCACGTTGAAAACCACAACTAGCTTTTTTACTTCTCTGCATTCTATTTTTCTTTCTCCTACCCTCACCTGTCCCTTTCAATCACCATCTTTAGCACGAAGCACTAGTAGCCTGCAGAAGCTTCTCTGACAACCTGCAAGCCACTACTTTACCTCCTGGCATCCCAACCTACCTGGCTGGTTGAGGCTTCAAGCTACTTCACCGCGTTGGGGCTGGCCTAAAGAGGAAGAGTCTTTTAGGTTGTTTTCACCTGACCAAAACCACCTATGCCCTAACGATGGACTCACTTGTCAGGTTATGAGTGTTAAAGTTCATTATACCACACCTCCTGTGGCAGAATCGTCCGAAATAGCACGCTTTCAAAGGTGCTCGTGTTTCACCAGACACTAAGCACCACGAAGTTGGCTACATCATACGGTTCCGTCGAGCACACCCCAAGGAAGAACTCGAATAATCCACGTTTTTCATTCAGAATCCAATAATGAGAACGAGCTTACAATACTTAGTCCATTTTATACAACAAGAGTTCTCGAAAATACTTTATTACAATAACAAGTTCAGAGTGCGAAATTTAAACAGCGGAATTGAAATAAACATCTAACGATAAGATATAAGGATCCGTCTGTGCCCACCAAAAGAATCCTCCACACAACAACCACTTCTCAAGTTGCACCTGCAACAGGGTTAAATAAACCCTTAGTACACAATATACTCGTAAAACATACCCGACTAGTGGAAATAATTTCCTGACTCCAAAAGATATGATAAGTTATATGGTTTGTTGGGTTTCCTTTTTGCGAAAAGCATTACTAGCAGTGAATTCTTATGTATATGTTTTATTAGCGGTCATGATTAGTTCATTAGCTAACCATTCTATGTAAGCACCTGTTCTACTTTCAAGCAAGAGTTGAGCAATCAGATCCATTTCACCATCTTTCATCTTCCAGTTTTTACTACGGTGCTAGATCATAGACAAGTCGTACCGTATCACACGACGATTAGCGAACTAATGTATCACAGCTAGGTATCCTGAAACACACGTCCCGCTTGTACCCTAGGCACAAGCACGACCAACCCACCACTCTCATGTCAAGGGATCCAAGTCCCCGTCCAAACTTGGACTCTAAGCCCCCACTCCTGAGTCCCAAACTCAGTGTGGTAGTTAGACCTCCACCATCCCCGTCTCCAATAAGTCGGTCCGAAAAGAACCAGAACCCACGACAAGAGAGCAATGAGCCTTCCCTCTCCCATAAGAAAGTATGTGCTCAGGATAATAAGTCTGTGACCTGACTAGAATCCACAGCAATGGACGGTCCTTAAGCGACACGGACAGGGAAAACAATGTAACCAAGCTATGCCCCGTTGATCGCGGGACACAACCTATTACACCCACCAATACCAGTATCATATCCCTGCCCGGTCTCTATTTCCTTTCACCATTTTATCATAAGAGTAATAATAATAATCATCTATTGTGAGTAACGGTAGGTTACTCACGCTACCGATAGCCTAAGCATAGCAGCTACTCGACCTATGCTAGTAGGACTCATAAGTAGGTTTATCTATGTATGTAGTTTCAATATAAATCTTGTAACGTAAATGCACATCACATATATATATCTAGTGATTATTCAAAATAAGGGTTATGCACCGGGGCTTGCCTTGGGCAGGCGTGGTGTCAGCTGAGTCAGTCAGTGGCTGTGGGGCTTCCTCATGTACGAACTCCACCAACTCGTTCTCTACATGCATGCAATGATAATGCAACACTAAGTATTTTGGCAACAACAACTCTTAAAATAAGAATACACATGCTAAGTTACTAAGCTAGCTCTAATGACTAAGATACTAAGCTAATCATTATCTCTACCAAATAGATTCCAAGTTCACCCTACAAGTGCCTAATTCATACAATTATTCATTTAGCCTGAATGGGTATTTAGCTACCATATTAAATAGTCTATTTTAGGGCTACAAAAATTATAGCAAGCACCTAATAATTCCATGAAGCTACTACTGAAATTTTAGAGTTAAAGCTATCACCAATCTACCACAAAAATTCTTACAATAATTAACTTAATAATATTGAGCACTCTCAATTGATTTAATAGCTCCTGGTATCAACAAGCACATATATGAACTAAATACACTAACAGATAGAGCACAATTTTAGGAACCTAACAAAATTTGTTTCACAATTTTTGGATATCTACGTTATTTTATATTAATTACCAAAGTTCAGCCCAGAATTAAAATAAAAAGATATTTCTATTTTCCACGAAAAAGATAAACCGATTGTGCGGCCCACGCGCGGAGGCGACCCACAGCGGGCAGCCCGCGTGCGCGCTGGCATTCTTGCAAAAACGCCCCCATGTTACGAACACTACACGTACTATTTATATAGACAATGACTTTACAACGGAGCTCTCATATCTTTTCACCTTCGCACCGAAGAGGTCCCCGAGACGCCCCACGCTCGTCGACGCGGCGGACGGTGGCACTAGTAAGGTTCTTGTTTGGTTTTGTTAATTGAGTGATAACCTAGGTGGACTAATTGTGTTCATATGAGATACACAGGTGATTAGTCCACAGGTACATGTGTGTAAGCAACATATGCCATAAAGGTAAAAATGGCTTGTAAATGATGTAAAGCTTACACATGTGATGATGAAGGAGCCTATTGCACATGATACATGACATTGAGTCATGAGCTCAAGGTGGAGAAGATCAAGACAAGACTTGGCTTGATGGACCGGTTGCAAGCGTGAAGGGCAAGTCGAAGGCTTTGGAGTGATGGACCGCGTGGCGGTGAAGCTTGAGCAAGACTTGGCGCCGATGGACGATGGCAACGGTGAAGAGCAAGTGAAGTCAAGATCGATGAACCAATATGATCACGTGATGATATGAAGTGGATCATATTATTATTGATCGTGTTGGTGCATGTGTTGCATTGACATTGGAGGAGATGGAATAGAATGCGCAAGGCAAAGGTATAACCTAGGGCATTTCATTTCATCGGTCATAGGTGTGTAGAGAAGTTTATGACCAGGTTTAGGATAGATAGTCGTACTATCAAGAGGGGCAAACTTGTTTACATATCGGTCATCTAGTGCCACTCGAGTGATCTAACTTTGCATCATCGCTAGGATCGAGTGGCGTGGCAAGTTGAGTGGCTAATCCTTTGGAAAATGATTATGAAAATGCTAACACACATACACATGGTGGTGTACACTTGGTGGGGTTGGCACATTTACAAAGGAGATGAAGTTGGAGTTGATGGGGATCAACTCGGTGATGAAACGGAGGCGAAAGGAGAAACTTCACCGGTGGAGTGTCCGCCCGTAGATTGCGGACAGTCCGACGGTGCCACCGGCGCCCTAGATCAAAAAAGACGAAGGTCACTGTAAGTGACCGGACGCTGGTCTTGGTTGGACCGACGCGTCCGGTCAATGGCAGCAGAGGGCACGCGTTTCGGTCTTCGACCGGATGCTGGAACTAAATGTGACCGGACGCTGGCAGGGTGCATCCGGTCAATGCTGACGTACGCTGACGTGGGGCG